CCCCCATGTCGAGTGTTTATTGCACTCTCTGTTCTTGTTCTATAAATGGGACATCTTTGTGTGCATAGTTCTTGTTGCTTCAAACCATCGCCCTATTTATAGTCTTTCCAGAAATCCATTAGATCAAAACACAGAAAATTTAGGGAACTGGAAAGCAGCTCTAAGCCTAATTTTATTCTCTTTCTTCCCCTTCCCCAAAGCTAAAAATGCCATTGGCTTTTTTCCCTGCCCCAACATGGCATAGCTCAGGGACTAACGGCGCCGTTGTCTCTCACTGGGAAGGCATGAGCCGCGAAAGTTGTTTTTTGAAACACGTTGGTAGGTTTGTTGGTGTTCACTCACTGCAAGCTGCCAGGTGAGTGGGCTGACATCAGAGTGAAACCGCAAGCTCAGCGCTTGCTTCTCAGAGTGGGAGACAGACAAACAGCCATGGGGGTGTCAGGAGTGCGGATGCCACAGCTGGGTCATGCTGGAAGCCCCAGGAATGTGGCAACTCCTCACTTGGAGCTTACTGGCTCCGACTACAATGGAAAACCCTTAAGGTTACCTTATGCCTCCGTTCACTGGGGTGATCCTGACTCAAGCATCTGGCAAATGAACATTAACCCACTCTTGGTAAGACTCTGAGAGGCAAAATTTGACCATGTGTCATAGGTGATTTTCTAAGGTTTTGATTACCATTCCTTTGGCATACTACGCGTATGGGGCTGCCGACCAAGGGCGTGGCTTTTACTGGGAACAGAAGGAAAGGGGACAAAAGGGTCAGCACAAATATAAGCCGGTTCCTCCACAGCGCAGGGGGAGGGGGTCCTGTTGTCAGAGTCCAGATTCTCCCTCCCTTCGTCACACTGGCTCTCTTTCGGCACCTGCTTATTTTTCTTCCTACCATTTGTCACAATCTGTAGTTATTTTACTACATCGCATACCTTTATTAAATTGCATGTATTTGTAATGTCTCCCCCTTTAGAACGGTGGCTCTCAAACTTTAGCGCCTGTGAGAATCCCAGAGTTTAAAAACATAGGTCTGAGGATTCGAGGTTCCAACGTGCTTTCCGTGAGGTTGTGGTGATGACCACGGTTGGGTGAGGTACAACTCTAATATTCTGGAATGGGCCCGGGAATGTGCATTTCTAGCACATGTCCAGGCGATGCGGAGGCTGCTGGTCAGGGACCACACTGGAGAGCAACTGACCCAGATTATAAGTTCCATGACAGCAGAGATCGTGTTGGGCTTGTGCAGCAAAATGAATAGCATATCGTAGGTGTTAAGTCAATACTTGTAGATTGAATGAATGCATTTTGATGGAGTGGAGATGGGGAGTCGGGTGCAGATTGGTGCATGATAACGCTTCAAAAGAAGTGGAGAAGAGCACCTGGCAGTGACCTGCTCTCATACACAGACTTCATGGCCCTTGAGAGCAAGCAGAGAAGGGCTTGTGAAGGTAGCAACTAGCCACATGCCCATGAAAAGTGTCTCCTGTGCCACAGCCGGCCGGCACCTGATCTAGCACAAGTTCCTACTCAAGTGTACACCCTTATTTCGCAGGAGAGGAAAAGTTAGTGGCTCTATAAGTCTCAGGCCTCACCCAGATCTCTATTTACCTACAGTGACTACTCCAGTTTAGCCCCTGGGTGCCATTTCTGGCAACATCCAAACACCTCAACTCTGTTCAGCCAACCCAAATATTTCTCCTGGGTCCAAGGGCTCCATTGACATTAATCCATTAATCACAAGGATCTAACTGAGGAGTGCAGGTCCCCAAATCCTTACCCTGGGAGTCGTGGTGATGATCGTGGTTGGGGGAGGAATGACGCTAATACTCAGGGTCACTGTCCCTGTTTCAACCAGGGCTTCAGCTTTCTTCCTGCCAGACAGCAAGTTGTCATCAGTTATATAGACAAGTAGCTCGTAGTCCCAGATCTTGTCAAGCCCACCAGGATAGTCAAAGCGAGTTGCAAGGAGCAGGTGTGTGATGTTGGACCCGGCGTTGGGAGAAAAGGTGAAATGTCTGTTGACATTGCCTAAATGAGACATGAGACAAGGATTTGGGGCAAAGGAAGAAAAGAGAGTGAGAAACAAATGTTTAGAGGAAAACTACATCCAGTCTCTTCCACAAACGTCCATACCTCTGTGTAGGCTACTTCCGATGCACCAGGGTTACAATATCGGCCTTGTCTGTGCCAGAAAGTTCATTAGTATAAAGAAACTCTTGCTCACAACCAGTGTGGCTGCAACGGGGATGAGAGCAGAAAAGACAACAGCACACCTGTCCCCGGAGAATGGCCGCTATCTTGCAGAGCATCAGGCAGAGATTTCCTAATCCTGGTGCAGCCTCTCTAGCCAGTCCTTACCATGCAGCATTTATTTGGTAACCACGTGGAACTTGCACTCAGACTAATACGTGGGCACAAGAGCATAGAGGGGGCCACATCCCTCGCCCTAGGCCAAATTCACTTCATGCCTTTCGTGGAAGTTGGTGGGCCACACAGAACTGGTGACCTATGTCCCTGGAGTTCCTCTGAAGGAAGGTGTCTCCTGGCTTTGCAGGGATTGCAGTCCCAGGCCCTCCTGAATCTACCCCATTCCCACCTTTCCCCTGCAGTCTGTTAGGGCTCTGGGCTCACAGCTCAGGGAACAGGGCAGGAAGGCTGCCCGCCCAAGCAGCCCTGGCTCATTCCTCCGGTGGCTCCAGACTCATTACCGACTGAAAACCAGTAAATGGAGCAGGAGATGATGCAATTTTTACTCCCTTAGCAGCGAAGTGCTCCATAAAGGCCTGAGGGTTCTCAGTATGTGTTATTTCCATCTTCGGCAACTGCAGTCTCGAGGCTGCCTCTGCCCCTGGGTTTTGTGACACAGCCTGCTCAAGAGGCTCCCTACTGTTCAGAGTTCATGCTCACCAGGGCTCAGCAGGCGGCCAAGATGGGTTTTTAGTCTTTCACTTGGAATTGTTCTGCTTGTTTGGGTTTAAATCTCTGACCCCAGCACTTCATTAGATGAGCTATTTTGGTCTCATTTCCATTGAGGGGTGCTCTTCCCCACCCCTCATAACCCCCCTCCCTCCCGGTATATTTTTAAAGAGAGCAAATGAATGGAGCAGAAGAGAATTCCTAAGGATACATTTAAAATGCATACAATCTATTATTATCCAGAGAGAGGACTGGGATTCCCTGCCCCCACTATAAGCTTGCAGGTTGAGCAGTTGGACTAAAAAAAATTTTAAACTACACTAATAATATTCATGAATCATATGATAGTCTGGGAATTTGGGGGTCACCATCAGTGGCATACACCCTCCAGTGGTCCTCTGGGCAGCCTTGTGTGGGAATCTGGGAGGAGTTAGGTGAAGAGAAGGGGAAGGCAAGATGAGGACTGGGAGGCACTGGGACCAGCACGCTCCTTATCCCTGCTTTCCTCATTTACCACCCCACACCCATACACACTGTGCCCAGATCAGCGTGAGAGCACAGGCCCCCCCACCCATTCTCCATGACCAGCAGCTAAGGCCTCCAACCCCAGGAGCCAGGCCAGGACCGTCGATGTCAGGTACCGTACCTGGGCCAATGGAGTAACGAAAGGACCTGGGGCTGGAATCACGATCAGTACACATCAGCTTGAAATTTTGAATGTTTGTGCCAACTTTCAGATCCACTGGGATGGCCAGGAAATAAGAGTTTGGGATACAAATCGGCTTTTCATCATTTTCTTCCAGGACGTTAACAGTAACCTGGAACAGCAAGAAGCTGGCCATTGTTAGCAGCTAAAACTTACTGAGTGCTTCCTGTGTGCCACGCACAGGGCTCTGCGTTTTTGTGGTCTAGCTCATTTAACCTTTCCGGAGATAGATAATATGACCATTCCCATTTTACAGATGATGAAACTGAGGCTTAGAGAGGTTAGGTGATTGACCCAAAGCCATTCAGCTGGTGAGTTCCAGAACTGGGGTTTGAATGCAGGCCTGTCCTACTCCAAGTCTTACGCTATTAACTTCTATACTCTGGATGTGTGCACATGTGCATATTATATGTATACATTCATAGAGCCCCACGTAAATGCACCTGGATACATGGGGCTCATCCCCAGGTATTGCTGGGTTGTTTTTCCAGTAACAAGGATGGATTTACAGTGAGCCTCTGTACTTCCTTGCTCACTGCCCTTGTGCATTGGAAGTGGCATCTTTAACTTTAGAATGCTGAACAATGGTTCTCAACCCTGGCTCTACTTCCTTAGGCCCAGTCCAGACCAAATAAATCGGACTCTCTGCAAGGTGAGGCCTGGGCACCTTTTATTTTTTATTTTTTATGTTCCCAGCTGATTCTAATATGCAGCCAGGGTAGAGAACCACTGGGCTGAAACGAGAGAACCTGGCTTAGCTGGGATCTCCTCTGTAACCTGGGCTATTAGGACGCACTAAGCGGGTGGTGATCACCTGCCACAGGCAGGGCCGGGCCATTCTCTTTCACGGCTGTCTTTTATGCCTGGCAGATTGGAATATGGACTCGGACGCCTGCCAGCACGGAATCATAGACTGTCAGCCCTGAAAGGGACTTATGTGATCATCACCCTTTTGAAAAGCTTATGAATTTTGAGTCAAATTTATTCTACCTTTGAAATTTGGGGATTTCAACCATTTCCAAGACCTGGAATAAATTGAAATGTTCACTCCAGTCAGCTCCCAGAGTGGAGTCCATTCATGTTTTTTTCAAAAAGCCGGCCTAACAAACACTACAATTATCTCCAGCTTAGCACGTCTCTCCCCCAGCGGGCAACGCCGAGCCTCACGCATCATTAAAAACATCGTCCAGTTAATTCAAAGCAAGTCATGAGAGGAGCAGGACTAGTCAGGCTTTCGGTGATCGGGTGACTTTCCATTTAAAAGATTGAGAAATTGGGACACGAAGATAAGCATGGCTCAGACCCCCTTGGAAAACTGGGATCAAAGCTGAGAAATGAACTGTCTCCAGTCATTTTCTCCATCACACAGGGCTGCCTGCCGCGAGCTCAGAGTTCATTTTGCCTTATGCGTTTTCACTGTACTAATGGGAAAGAGCCAGATGTCCTCGTGGCCATCATATTATTCGCAGATAATCCTAACCACTGACAGCACGGACCTGTTAAACCTTCTTCCGCCAAACGCGGGCCTGGGCCAGGTGCATCGGCACCACCTGGAAGCCTGTTAGGAATGCAGACTCTCAGGCCCTTCCCAGACCGGAGGGCTCAGAATCTGCATTTAACCAGGTTCTCAACATCAACGGTTGGGAAGAAGTGTAGCCTCAGTCAAGCCACATCATTTTAAGATCTACCCCCATCTGGTGTGATGACGGTAGGGTCGGAACACAGCTAAGCTACCGGGAGGCGGGGCGGGGAGGACATGTATAGCTACAAAACCACACCCCACTTCTGGCAGCGTGCATCTCACTGCCAGCCCCCCGTGAAAGCACGGGGTGTTTAAGGGCAAGAGGACACTTGTCCCACAGAGAGACCATCAATCTCAGCGCGCCTCCCACACACATGGGCGTCCATCTTTATTTCCCGGGCACTGCTCTGTGAGTCCGTTTGTGCTGTCCTGGACACCACTGGTCATTTCCTGTCACATATGGAGGATGTGCCCCATTAAGACATCGTCACATCTGGAGGGTGCCGGAGACGCCCTACATCAGCCACTCAGGCCGGCGCAAACGCACCAGAACAGACCCACTCACAGTGACTGAGCTTGTGTCCTCTTCGTTGGCGGCCTGGATTCTGAGAATATAGATGGGGGTCGTTTCATAGTCCACTTTAGTCACCAGCTGGAGTTCTCCTGTTTTGGGGTTAATCCAAAATATGTCTGGGTACGGGAAGCTGGCCCCCCCAGTGGAGATGGAGTATACAGTGCTGCTCTGGGGGAAGTCTTTGTCAGCGGCCTGCACCCGTCCAATCCGGGCTCTGGCTGGAAGAACAAAGTACCTGGGATTAGTCCTGCTTTGGGGGTGCAGGGAGGGTCCGGGAGCAGACACTCTCTCTGGTAGGGCAGACAGGCTTTTGGAGGTCCCTTTACTGTTCAAACTCTGTGTGTTTTATGTCTCCAGTTCTATTAAATTCAGATTATGCTAATGAACACCCACTAGGTCACTGGTCCGGTGATCCAGGCCGTACTGTGAGGCGAAAAAGACAATTCACGCCTTTTTTGTAGATTCCAACAGCGCCAGTCATTATGCCAGCGGTTCTCAACCTGTGGGTTGCGACCCCTTTAGCGGGCGAACGACCCTTTCACCGGGTCATTCCTGCATATCAGATATTTACATTACGATTCATCACAGTAGCAACATTACAATTATGAAGTAGCAACGAAAATAATTTTATGGTTGGGTCACAACATGAGGATCTGTATTGAAAGGGCCAGAAGGTTGAGATCGACTGCATTATGCTATCATACACAACACTGCAAAGAACATTCTAAAAGTCTTGTATTTTTCACATTTTCTGTAATACATGAGATAAAAAAGCCCAATTTTTGGTTTGTTTTGTTTTTTGTTAATCCTCACCCAAAGATATTTTCCCATTGATTTTTAGGGAGAGTGGAAGAGAGAGGGAAAGACAGAGAGAAACATCGATGTGAGAGAGGCACATGGATTGGTTGCCTCCTGCACAAGCACTGACCAGGGCCTGGGCCAGGGAGGAGCCTGCAACCCAGATGTGTATCCTTGACCGGAATCGAACCCGGGACCCTTTGGTCCCCAGGCCCATACTCTATCCACTGAGCCAAACCGACTATGGTGAAAAATAAACCATTTGTAAGGGTTTGGCAATGGAGGATTACAGAATATAGATTTTTAAAAAGGTTTTAATCATTTTTTATTTTTCAATTAGTTGACATGCAATATTATATTAGTTTCTGGTGTACACCCCAGTGATTAGATATTATATTACAGAGTATTGATTTTTAAATATGTACTGTTTCATTTTGTTTATCTTACAAACCTTGTTGGTGGGAATGCTGCAGTTCTGGCTTGCTTGTTTTGTGGAAGTTCATTTTCATAAGTTTTACTCCTTGAGGGCAGAAACCTCTCATCCAACTACATAACCCCAGCACCGAGCACTTGACTCAAAGTAGGGGATCAATGACTGAAGGGAGATCTCTGAATTGATAAAGAGCCTATTCCTACTTCACTTGATAGGCACTGGGTAAGGGATAAAGAAATAAAGCCATTGCCTTTAGACCAGTGGTTCTCAACCTTCCTAATGCTGCGACCCCTTAATACAGTTTCTCATGTTGTGGTGACCCCCAACCATAAAATTATTTTCGTTGCTACTTCATAACTGTAATTTTGCGACTGTTATGAATCATAATGTAAATACCTGATATGCAGGATGTATTTTCAGTTACAAATTGAACATAGCTAAAGCATAGTGATTAATCACAAAAACAATATGGAATTATATATGTGTTTTCCAATGGTCTTAGGCGTCCCCTGTGAAAGGGTCGTTCGACCCCCCCCCAAAGGGGTCGCGACCCACAGGTTGAGAACCGCTGCTTTAGACCCTCTTTTTGTGTTTTGTTTAAAACTTAATGTCGGGAAATAGAGACCATCACAAAGAGAGAATACAACGGAGAGGGGATCATTTTAGGAGTGTTTGGTTTAGCTTTTTGTTTTAAATATAGAAGTATCCATGATAAAAGGATCAAAAACTGAATACTGGAGTTAGTCAGACCACTTTCAAACTGAAAGAAAGGTGGGGGTGGGGGGAGTGGGGAGTCTCCTCTTTAAAGGGGAAGAGCCCGCAGAAATCCAGGCATTGTAAAGGGCAAAAAAGAGGCCTCCAGTGAACCCTAATAAGGGAGAGAAGACGTCTTTATTTTGTTTGTAAATGAAGGGACTCTAGAAATGGGAAACCTTTTCTCTATTTTAAAATTTCAATTCTCCGAATGAGCTAGATAAACATCACAGTGGAGACCGAGGGAAAACTTCAGCTACAACAAAGGAGGATTAGGGGAATCAAGCACTCAGGCAAGCAATCAGGGGGTTCGGAGAAATGCAGTTTAATCAACAGTTTTCAAAATCTAGAGTTCACCTGAAGGGCTCCTCAGCAGTGAGGACGATTTAAAAAAAATAAGAGATGCAATAAACTCGATTCAGCTGTGAATCGCTGTGCACACCACGCAGGGCCTCTGGAAGGGAGCTTCCCCTCCGCCGAGTGTGCATCTGGTTGGAGTCTGTCAAGAGCACGGTGGCGTGTTTCTCATCTATTACTCACCTGGGCTTATTTCTGACACGTCAAAGACATAGGATGGCTGATCAAAGACAAGAGGAAACTCATTTTCTGGGCTTGTTAGGACATAAATGTAGATGATATCTAAAAAGAGAAATAGAAAAAATTTAAATCATAATATTCTATTCTCATTGACTTGTTTATTAAACATTAGAGACCAGGTGCACGAAATTTGTGCACTTGTGGGGGTGCAGGTCCCTCAGCCCGGATTGCGAGAGGACGCGGGCCAGGCCGAGGGACCTCACCGGGGCACCATCGAAGCCAGGGAGGCACCCAGGAGGTTGGCCAGCTGGCGCGGGACTGCAGGAGGGCTCCAGGGTGTGTCTGGTCCGTCTCATTCAGTCCCGATGGGCCGGACCCCAGCAGCAAGCTAACCTACCAGTCGGAGTGTCTGAACCCTGGTAGTCAGTGAACATTACAGTGACTGGTCGACTGTCTGCCCCCTGGTGGTCAGTGCACGTCATAGTCTTAGCATATCATTAGTATGTTACGCTTTGATTGGTTGAATGGCCGACCGGACGACCAGATACTTAGCAGATTAGGCTTTTAAAAGCATTTCCTATGTAACAGGTGCTGTGCAAAATATTGAAGCTGCAAGGAGAATAAGACCTGGAAGTTCCTGCCTACGAGATGCTTCAGGCAGTTCCTTCTGATAAACACAGGTACAGGTCACTACGGAAGCCAGAGGAAGTGCAAGCTGAGCTTCACAAAGATCATTAGAGCTAGACAAATGGGGGGAGGGGGGTCATGGGGGTGTGATTCTAGGCATGTGCATGGATATCAAGGCATAAAACTGCATGATTCACTCAGAAAAACGGCAAGCTGTTTGGCCTAGTTAGAAAAAAGGAGGTTTAGAAGCAAGCGGCTGGAGCTAAAGAGTTAGGCAAGGGCCGAATGGTGGAAGTCCTTGTGTGCCAAAGGATTAGAACTTGAACTTGACAGCTATGGAGACACTCAGGGCTTTAAGCAAGAAAGTAATATGACGACGCT